GGTTTTTTAAAAAAGCTTAGAAAGTCAGCAAGTAGCATATTATTTCATGCTTTGTTATGAACAAGGGTTTCCTTTTAATACAGTGACAAGAGTCTAGGTCAGTACCCGTAGAGGAATGGGCTTCACTCCCGTAAGTAAAGAATCGGCAAAATGAAGAAAACATCATGATCTGTACTGGTTTTCATTTCATAAAAAAGCACGTTATTTTAATTATGAGAAAGGTCCTGAAATCGATTGAAAAGAAAAAACTAACAATTTCAAAACTGTATATAAAGATGTATTTTAAGCTCATTTATAATACTTGTTTGTATATGGTAAGACCATCATCGCGTGAGTTTTGTCCGGGGGGGGGGGGGTATTAGTATCTTGTTTTGCGCTAGCTATAAAGTGTACAGGTTATTTACTTTGATTTCTAGAGTAGCATTGAAGCATTTTTGTCTCAAACACTTCAAGACAACTTTCCCAGTTAAAACTGTTCATAATTTACTTCGTCGTCGAGAACGACGGAATACAGACCAGTCTATAAATAGAGGCCGTCTCATCAATCTATCACTGACCATGAAGAAGTGCGCCCTCAAGTAAGAGAGTACATGTAATATGAATTTCTTTAAAACGAATCATCTATTTTCCCAGAATTATCAGTGGCGGATCCAGGAATTTCATAACGAGAGGGCCCAGTAGAAGGCAGGGGGTCTAGGGGCTGTATTGAAACCCCAGAGGGTCCAGAGCAAAGCTCTGATGGGGGTTCGGGGGCGAAGCCCCCGGAAGCTGACGAATTCTTACAAATAAGAGGTGTTTTTTCCTTGATTTTAGGATAATGAACATATAAGTTCTACATACAAAAAATTCAAACGGGGGGGTGGGGGGGGGGCACGCCCGGCGCGCCTGTGATGGATCCGCCTTTGATTATAATCTACGCTAACGCACTTGCAGTTTCATCCCAACGTAACTAGTCAGCCCGTGGGCTAACTAATAAATGACCAAATAGTGGCATGTCTTAGATATTTGTTAATCTGTAGTATTTGGTTATGAAATTTGAGAAAGTCAACTGTACATCTTGTATGAAGTATCGCAACTATGTCGCTCCTTGATAACGGAAACGTTTAGCACCTCTCCTGCATATACGTTCCATAGATATTGATTGATTAGTCAGGCAAGCTTTTTGAAAAGCTATTACTTGTCTTACAAGCTTAAAAATGATTGGTTTTCCTTTTTTTCGCTCAACAACGTCACACGCGACCAGCCCATTCGTCTACAGTACAAGTAAGAAAAAGAAGATGGCGTTGTCAAGGCCGATCGGTGATGACGAGATCGATATTAAAGTTCACTACAAGTACTACGGGGAAGATCGATGCACAGTTATTAGTATGGAGGTTCGAGAATTGCTCTCCATTGGTTATGTTGGTTTAGAAGGCATAATCAAGGCACATGTACAGTACCTGGGTCGCATGCCATTGCTTAGAATGAGTTATAAGGACGAGCAAAATGATTATGTCGATTTATGCGATTACAACTTCAACCGGTTTATTCGTGTCATTCGAAATTCAAAAGTTGGTTAATTTTAATAAATTACAGACTGTAGGAAGCACTTACGGGAGGGGGATGCTCATACAACGAAACACCGAACAGAAATTCCTTGACACCCCCCTCCCCCCCAAAAAAAACACAGCTGTAAATTAGCTTTGTTTTCTATTTAAAGTACATGTATATTTTGGCAAAATTATCGAAGGGAAGAGCATACCCCCAAATTCACCTTGCTTCCTGTATTTATGTTTAAGGTATAAAAAGTCATTAAATATGTCTTCTTTACCATTTTGGTGAACACTTCAAATCAATTATTATTTAACATAAATTACTAGTATATTGCATGAATTTTGGTAGCAAGTACGTATTTTATTGCATTATGATACATTTTTTTCCAGGATCTGATGTCCAACAGTACCCTTTAAAGAAGAGGTTTTAGGGGAAATTTGCCAAATTCCTGAGTTAAACGACACAAGGGAGCGCGCTAGTGATTTTGTGATTATACCTTGCTTTAAAAAAATGATTAAAATATTTACTAGTATCTACATCGAGTGACTATTTAACAACTTCCCTGTATATTTGTTATAGTAAAAAGAGGTTTATCATTATGGTTTGTTCTATACAAACCTTAATTAATAGCGATTTCTAAACGGGTCCGTATTTCACGCATTGATGGGTTTTGTTGTATTTGATTCGAACTTTGTACTTCATCCTAAAGTGAGTATAAAGTTATACAGACTGCTGAAACAAAAGTGTATTGCGTTAATGAATTTTCGCTACAGTCTAATATACAATTTACAATTACAAGAAGTGATTCAATTTTTAAGTTTTATTGAACATGAAGACGTTTAGTCAGCCAGGCACGTAGTATTGTGTTTGAAAAAAACCCATAAAAACGGGGGATTGTCCAGACTTGAAAATCCTATTTTGGTGGAGAGTGTAGGTTCCAACTTTTTTAAAACCAAATTTTATAAATTCATTTCCCTGATTTGACTACACTGAAAGGGGGGGCGATGAACATTTTCAACAGAAAAAGATTATGCTTTGTTTAGAAAAAAAAGGCCGCGGGAGTGGGCTAGCATCCTGATATTACTTACCTGTATACCCTCCCCCCCCCCCCAAAAAAAAAAACACAATCGGATTGAATTCGGAGCATATTTTTCCCTTGCACTTTTTGCTCTCAAATAATCAGTCTTAACTGATGTAGTACAACAGAAATGTAGAATAATATCATTTGGTTTTTATAGTTCGATTTAGTTAATGATGTACAAGATAAAGTTTCCATTTCAGGTACGAATCGATGATAAATGTGAATGCAGGAAGCAGTTTTCTCAAAACGTCATATTAGTTAATTGAAGCAAAAATTATAAGTTTGAAAGCACGCATTAAAAAAAAATTGCATCGCATAGTCATTAAGATAGATGTATTTAAATGTGATGATTTTGTCCCGCATGTGCTGAAATCGCACCTGTTTTCTTTATAACCCCCTCCCCCATGGGGGATGCTTGCAAATTCATGTAAAATCGGATTGTGCTCTGATATGGTAACGTTATACATGTACTTTTTGCATTCTCATGTTTATATAGGAATGCAAAATTAAGTTTTGGTGTACCATTTTTTTACGTCAAGCAAAAGAAAAAAAAAATTATAATAATAATAATGATAAAAATAACCCCCCCCCTCCAAATGCATCTGTCTGCCGTGAAAGAGCAAGGATATTTAATTTAAACTTTGCCTACTAATTTTATGTAATTTAAAAAAAAAAATTAAAGTGCCATTTTTTTTCCAAAAATATCCCCCCCCCCCCCGAGAATTTATTTTTGATTTGTGTCAGTATGATATGCAGACCATGGGACATTCAATCCTGTCAAAATATTCCCTATCAAAAATAAATCCAAGAAAATCCCAGATCAGATACACTTTACATATGATAATAGAGTGAAGTACTAAATAAAAACATTTCGTTATACGTAAAAAAAAAAGAAAGAAAAAAAAGAAGAAGAAAGAAACGATAAAGCACGCGTTTGTAAGGAAAGATATGGACATGTACATGATTTGTTTTATTTATTTATTTATTTATTTATTTATTTTTCTTTTTTTAGCATTTTGAAAAAAATATATAAATATTGACAATATGAATACAATTTCCCTTCTCTGCAGAAATGTTCGTCATTCTATGCATTCTTACAGTACATGTACATTAGATCTATGCTACATTGTAAATCAAGCACGTCCAGTTAATTACATTAACTCCATCTCTTCTTGAATATCTCTCTCAAAACTTATTTAACTCTACTTTTCAGCAGTGATTTGGGATAAAATGCTACAATCAAAGAATAATCTGGATTGATACGTAAAATCCAGTAATCAATGAATCATGCACTACTTTTCATATGACAGATTGAAACAGTGGAAATTTGCTATAGAATTAAATAATTACCTATAACTACTCTATTTCATTATTTAAGATACTAATTGCGCAGGAAATATTCGATAAAAGGACGGTTGGACTATCTGTCCCCTTTTATGAACCCGTTAATCGTCGTTTGACCGATTTTAGCGTGGGAGAGACGTGCACTCGGTTACTTCCTTTGATGTGGTGACAATGTGACGTAGTATTTAAACTTCTCGACAAGCAAAGCATCAGAACGTCACGAACATTTTAATTTCCGAAAGTCTTGAAAGTTGAATGTCTATTGATTACTTCTAAGTTTTAATTAAATAAGTATATGTTGATAAGCTCAAATCACATCTCATTGACGAGGAAATAAGTTTGACTGGATTGATTGATTTAATGTTATTTACGTAATTTAAGAATGTATTGTAAACTGGTAAAGTGAGTTTAATCCTTCTTAAGTCGAGAGGTGGCAGTTTGAGTGGATTGATTGATTTTATGTTATTTTACGTATTTAAGAATGTATGTAAAGTGAGTTTAATCCTTCTTAAGTCGAGAGATGGCAGTTTGACTGGATTGATTGATTTCATGTTATTTACGTAATTTTAGAATGTATAATCTATTGTAAAGTGAGTTTAATTCTTCTTAAGTCGAGAGGTGGCAGTTTGACTGGAAGGAACGTCTCTGATGAGAAATTGTGCACAGTATGATTATTGATACTATACATTGCCGTAGGAACCCGGGGGGGGGGGGCGTGGCTAGGGAGGCTCCAATAATTTTGCCGATACATATAATGCTATAGAAAACGTAGATGATACACTGTATATACTTGTGCCCCAAACTGAAAATGTATGGCTGTGCCCCCCCCCCCCTCCCTCCCCGGCAAAAATTGCTTCGGGACGGGTCTGCTATAAAGTGTTTTTGTTTGTAGAAAGGGATGCATGTAACTAACTACACTTATAAAGGCTGATCACAAGGTTAAATTTTACTTTCAAAATCACTAAAATAATAACCTTCCGGGAGAGAAATATTTTTGGCGCAATCGGTGTTCCATATATACAGTCCATTACGCAGACGTTACTTAAAACAAACCGAAAGTTGCTTCCGAAAGAAGAACCATCGCTGTCTCTTGCAACTCAAAGAGACATTTTCTAAGTAGAAGGTAAGAAAATATTGCTAAATCAATGAGAGAATGGAAACTGAACAAGTTATGAACACCATGACAACAGCTGGGCAATATTGTGATCAAGAAAGTAGAAGTGTTGAACTTCAGACATCATCGCCATTTTTTTTTATGTAAGAATTGTCAAGACTAATGGCACAGGAATGTGTGACGCCTTTTTAAAATCAAAACAGAAATAGTAGGGATAATCTGAAAATTATTGACAATTCAGATTGAGACCACTCGGTATTGAGATAGGGACCCCTCACCTAATATATGAAAGTCCGTTTGGGTTATAGATCTAGAATAAACAATTAAGAAATATAACCCTTGCTTTGATGCACTTTTTTTTTTTTTTTTTTTTTTTTTTTTTTTTTTTTTTACAAACATAGATAACAACATAAATGATGTAGTTTAAACTTAAGTTTGAACAAATCATAGACTCCAAGCGTAGGATGAGGGATCAAAGATTGAAATGTGAATATATAGGAAAAATTTTTTAAAATCTTCTTAAGAATCACTGGGCCAGAAAAACTGAAGCTTAAATGAGAGGTTCCTGACATAGTGTAGATTCAAGTTTGTTCAAATTGAGTAAGATAATTTAATTCTATAGGGAAAATATATTTATTAATCTTCTGATAACAGGGTCTAGGTGACTTGGGTGAGTGTTGTGACCCAAGGGCCTCTTGTTTGAGATATGCTGCAAAACGTGATGGGTCCTTTATACCATGGGATGGAAAGTATTGGACTGAAAATGTTTATATCCAAACTAATTTTTGATAGTATACCCCAAAGGACTATTATGATATCCCATTGGGCGAATGTTACCAACCTGACAAAAGACGTGGCATTTTGTGCCATATATGATTGAATGTGGCTGGTTACTTTCTGAATATGTGTTTAATGTATTAACCCAAGTTGTTTTGTTCCATTCCAAGGCAAATAAGTTAACTATTAATAAATAATGCAGGTTTTCTCATTCATTTGATTTTTTCTGCACAGTAATATTAAAAAAAAGATATTTTTCTCTAGTCAATTTATACTTTATTTGTAGGAAATATATGCATACATTATATAATGGCGGGTTTTAACATTCCAAATATATGTCTGACCCGAGTTTTATTGATTAACACACAGATGTATAGGGTCTACAGGTGTATAGTGTATACAGGTGTTTAGTGTATACAGGTGTATGTATACAGGTGTATAGTGTCTACAGGTGTATAGTGTATACAGGTGTATAGTGTATACAGGTGTATAGTGTATACAGGTGTATAGTGTATACAGGTGTATAGTATCTATAAGTGTATAGTGTCTACAGGTGTATATTGTATACAGGTGTTTGTATACAGGTGTATAGTGTGAACGAGTGTCTAGTGTATACAGGTGTATAGTGTATACAGGTGTTTAGTGTATACAGGTGTCTAGTATATACAGACTCTAAAACGTGCTTCTACACCTCAGAAATGAAACAAACCGTTCCTTGCAAGAAGCGTTCTGTACCATGCAAGAAGCGTACCGTTCCGTGCACAAAGCGAACCGTTCTGTGCAAGATGCGTACCGTACCGTGCACAAAGCGAACCGCATCGTACACAAAACGAACCGTTCCGTGCTGGAAGTGACCGTACCGTGCATAAAGCGAACCGTACTGTTCATGAATAATTTTTGAAATAATTATGCAAGCCCCAAAAGCATTCCAAATCTTGCAATGACCAAGTTAGTCATTTTTTTAAATTTCTTTCGATGCAGCGCCTATTAAAGAAGGACGGAAAATAACCCTAGAGATTCAAAATATTATTATAAAGTACCAATGTCCATGTATATGGACTTACATCTGTTAATATAAGGAAACAACTCAAAACTAGTTACGACTTCAAAACAACCCGACACAGTGTGAGGCGATTCCTTATTCGCTATGCATGATTGGGTTGTGCTTGAGTCTATGACTACTATTTTTTTTCATATTAAATGCATCATCGTAATATTTTCCTGTACAATTTATAATAGATAAAAGTGAATTAAATACTTTATTGTTTATTTTTATAGCTTTTATCTACCCTATTCTTGTCTCTATGAACGTTCTCGGAAACCAAGACACATTGAAAAATGTATTAGGATTCTGTACTATTTTCTGAAATCAAGGTCTTAAAATCATTTTTATTTCATGTAAATAATAGTTTTAGGGAGAAATGATTTACTCAAAAACATTTGAAAATTTCGATCAAGTATTGTCATCATACGTGCACAGGTAAAAAACTTAAGCTGTGTATATTGAACCGCATCTAATCCTGTTGGTCCAGATTATAATGCCTCTGTATCAACAGTTTACTGTCTTAAACAGTAAGTCTACAACAAAGAAACAGTTTTAATCAGCAGATAAACAGAATTTCATGTGCAGTCAGTTTTTCTTCTAGACCTTCAGTAAAAAAAAAGTTTTAGTTTGACAAGGAAACCAAACAAAAAAAAAAAGGGGGGGGGGTTGCACCCGGCATAGGCAAACTATTCATTTTCAAAGTTTTTAATGACATGCATGGGTGCATATTATTTATTTTCTAGGTAATTGAAAACGGACTATTTATTTACATTTTGACTTATTTATTTCGGAAATCTGTCTTTGCAGTCAGTATATGTTATATACGTTAACACATTGTTGATGGAATTGTAGCTGTCTTAACCGTTTTCTTTATTGTAACTTCCCTTTAAATGCGTTTTTACACATTGATGGAAAATTTATGTAAAAAGGAAAACAATTACACGCACAGAAAATAAAGTAAATAAATATTGTGCACCAATTATGTACTCTTCTACCGATTACTTTTCAATGTATTTTTAGTGAGTCAAAAACCTAAGGAATCTATGTGAAAAAAATTTAATTCCTCGCAAATAAAAATAATAACTTATTTTTTTATTGTTTGTTTGATCATTCGGTCAAGAGAAAAAAATGTCTGTTTTTTTAGCTCACCTGAGCCGAAGGCTCAAGTGAGCTTTTCTGATCGAAATTTGTCCGTTGTCTGTCGTCGTTGTCGTTGTCGTAAACTTTTCACATTTTCATCTTCTTCTCCAGAACTACTGGGCCAATTTCAATCAAACTTGGCACAAAGTATCCTTGGGTGTAGGGGATTCAAATTTGTTCAAATGAAGGGCCGCGCCCTCCTCCAAGGGGAGATAATTACGAAATAACAAAAAATTAATGGCATTATTGAAAAATCTTCTCCTCAAGAACCAATGGGCCAGAAAAGATGAAACTCATGTGGAATTATTGTCAGGTAGTGTAGATTCAAGTTTGTTCAAATCATGACCCCCGGGGGTAGGGTGGGGCCACAATGGACGATCAAAGTTTTACATAGGAATATATAGGAAAAATCTTCAAAAATCTTCTTCTCAAGAACAGCAAAGCTATGATTGGTCATATTTATGTGTAAGCATCCTCAGGTGCTGTAGATTCAAGTTTGTTCAAATCATGACCCCCGGGGGTAGGGTGGGGCCACAATGGACGATCAAAGTTTTACATAGGAATATATAGGAAAAATCTTCAAAAATCTTCTTCTCAAGAACAGCAAAGCTATGATTGGTCATATTTATGTGTAAGCATCCTCAGGTGCTGTAGATTCAAGTTTGTTCAAATCATGACCCCCGGGGGTAGGGTGGGGCCACAATGGACGATCAAAGTTTTACATAGGAATATATAGGAAAAATCTTCTCAAGAACAGCAAAGCCTCTGTTTGTCATATTTATATGGAAGCATCCTCAGATAGTGTAGATTCAAGTTTGTTCAAATCATGACCTCCAGGGGTAGGGTGGGGCCACAATGAAAGTTCAATTTGTAGAGAAAAATGTCACAGTCAAAAAAATATGTAAGCATCCTTAGTAAGTGTAGATTTAATTTTGTTCAAATCATACCCCCCACTCCCTTTTAGGGATAGGTTGAGACCACTTATGCATTTAAGCTTTTCAACACTAAACTGATTTTTCTTTTTTCCTAGCCACAGTGCTCAGGTGAGCGATGTGGCCCCTGGGCCTCTTGTTTAGGTTTTGTTTTGTTTGTTTTTTTTGTTTTGTTTGTTTTGTTTTTTTTTTTTGTTTGTTCTGTTTTTTGTTTTGTTTTGTTTTTTTTAAAATGAAGCAACAGCGACAAGAACGTAAAAAGAATGGTAGACGAAATCAAAGCATGAGGGATTTATAAAATCAAACTCATTTGTTTAAAAGTGTGATAAGTGGATATTTAAAATAATAATTGTATTCAATTAGGAAAATTAAAGGAAAAAAAATCATATGTTTGCTTATTCTTTAAAAAAATAATGCAGAAAGGCCTTTATGGCGACGCAACCAAAATATATATTTTTTTCATCCTTGTTATACAGTGTTTGTTGATGTATGTTCGATTTATTTCCAAGTTATTGAACCATGCATAAGGTGATGGTGTACAAAATAAGATAATAAATAGACAACTAAAATATTTATTTTAAAAATTGAAAGTAGTTCATACAGAAAGTAAGTTAAAAAAAGATACAGTTAATAAGACGACTAGTTACATGTAATAACGAAAATACAGCTTTTAAAAGGAAATATTTAACCAAGCTTTAACTTCAAAAACAACTTATTAAAAAATGCTTGCGACACCGTCCTTCCATTTATATAAATAAAGAGATTATAATAAAGAAATAAACAACTCTATGAAGCAGCCAGTCATAAACTAAAGCGTACAGGCTCCGCCCACTTAATTTACATACCGTTCACCAAAGCGTATCGTTTACAAAATGAACCGTTCCGTGCAAGGAGCGTACCGTACCGTGCACAAAGCAAACCGTACCTGAACAAAACGAACCGTTCTGTGCAAGAAGCGTACCGTACTGTGCACAAAGTGAACTGTACCATACACAAAACGAACCATTCCGTGCAAGAAGCATACCGTACAGTTAACTAAACGAACCGAACCGTGCAAGTGTCAATAGCACGTTTTAGGGTCTGTACAGGTGTATAGTGTATACAGGAGTATAGTGTATACAGGTGTATAGTATAAATGATGTATGTGCATACATGTATATACTGTCTGCAGATGTATTGTGTATAAAGGTGTATAGTGTATACAGTTGTATATTATATACAGGCATAAAGTTTATACAGGTGTATAGTGTATACAGCTGTATAGTGTATATATATATATATATATATATATATATATATATATATATATATATATATATATATATATATATATATATATATATATATATATATATGTAGTATTTTCAGGTGTATAGTGTATACAGGTGTATAGTGTCTACAGGTGCATAATGTTCTCAAGTGTATAGTGTGTACTGGTGTATGTATACAGGTGTATAGTGTATACAGGTGTATAGTGTCTACAGGTGTATGTATACAGGTTTATAGTGTATACAGGTGTATAGTATCTACAGGTGTATAGTGTATACAGGTGTATAGTATCTACAGGTGTATAGTGTATACAGGTGTATAGTATCTACAGGTGTATAGTGTATACAGGTGTTTGTGTACAGGTGTATAGTGTATACAGGTGTATAATGTATACAGGTGTATAGTGTCTACAGGTGCATAATGTTTTCAAGTGTATAGTGTCTACTGGTGTATGTATACAGGTGTATAGTGTATACAGGTGTATAGTGTCTACAGGTATAGTGTATACAGGTGTATAGTGTATACAGGTGTATAGTGTATACAGGTGTATAGTGAATACAGGTGTATAGTGTCAACAGGTGTATAGTGTCAACAGGTGTATAGTGTATACAGGTGTATGGTGTCTACAGGTGTATAGTGTATACAGGTGTATAGTGTATACATGTACAGGTTTATAGTGTCTACGGGTGTATAGTTTATACAGGTTTGTAGTGTGTACAGGTGTGTAGTGTCTATGGGTGTTTAGTGTCTACAAGTGTATAGTGTCTACAGGTGTACAGTTTATACAGGTGTATTGTGTATACAAGTGTTAAGTGTATACAGGAGTATATTGTATACAGGTGTGTAGTATATACATGTACAGTGTATAGTATATACTGGTGTATACATGTACTATATACAGGTGTATAGTGTATACAGCAGAGTTCCCAAAACTAGTCAAAAATATGTCGGACAATTGTCCTGTAAATATTGAAACCGGACAGTTGTAAAGTTTACCGGACATTAATATTTTAGATAAAATAAGAACCATGTACTTGAAAGCAATGCAAACAGTTTAAAAAACATTTTCAAGCTAATTTATTCCTTTTTCTCTTTCTATTTCCTATTCAGTTTGTCTTAATTGCCGCTGTAGTCCATGATCAGGAAGACCTTAGGGCAAATACCCATTTAAAATCCTCCGTAACATTCTTTACTTCATGATTAAATTTTATTATGAATAAAAATTGAAAAATATGTCACATGCACGGTGTCAGATCCTGATTAATCACATAGAATAGATTTACTGATTGGTGGCGTTTTTCTCATAGTTACTTTTTCCTGTCACTAGCGTCCACTTTGTAAATCTAACAAATAGGAAGTTGTCTCAATTTAATATGTGTAAAAGAAAAGTTGGCAAATGCAGATTTTTAAAAAAATATATATACTTTTAGATATATTAAAATATTTTACTTTCATGTATGCGATGTTTGACGTCGCCGATGCTTGTGTGAGGAGACCAGCGCTTTATCGTATATATATATACAGATGTATAGTGTATAAAGGTGTATATTGTATACAAGTGTGATATATGTACAGGTGTGTCATGTATACAAGTGTGTAGTATGTACAGGTGTATAGTGTATACAGGTGTATCGTGTATACAGGTTTGTAGTATATACAGGTGTTTCTTATATACAGGATATCTGTTACTGAGTATTGATAGCAAATGGTTTGATCATGAATTTGTTTACATTGAATATATTCAAAAATTAGTGTATTGAGAAAGAGAGGAGAGGGAGGGAAGGAGAGAGAGAGAGAGGGAGGGAAGGAGAGAGAGAGAGAGGGAGGGGTGAGAAATGTACTTATTGATAAATTGACTTTGTTTTGACAGATAATTTTCCTGAGTTAGGCCTACCTTGTGTATCTATTAAAAACTCCATTTGATGTGAAATATAATAGCAAACTGTTAACTACTGCCCTCTTTCTTTGGGTATTTGATCTGACCTACATTTTCTGGATATATGTGACCAGGTAAATGTTTTAAGAAGATTCATTCTTAAGTTACTATAGGAACTTTGAATTCATGATGTATATTGCAACACATACTTGTAAACATATAGGGTTTAGAACATGTAGAACGGGCATTTTATTTGAACATTTTAAACTTGGACTATATTCATATCTTACTCATTTTAGTTATTAATAGTGAACTTAGTAGTGACAGTAAAATAAAATAAAAGTTTATTAAACAAGGATGGACATTATTAGTGTACCACATACAGTGACTTTATAATTCTATAAGGGACTTTATGTTCATGAACTATAATTATCTTGTTAGAACAAATTGGATTTTGTTGTTGGTACAATGAACTATAATTTTGTAAACCATTTTGTAATGGAATTGATCAGAATAGACCAATCAAACCCACCGATACTAAGTAATAAAATTTGAATGGAAATGTAAAGTTACTATTAAGATTCTTGATTAAGAGTAATAAAATTGGGAACTTTGAAGCAGATAAGTAAAAGAGCCTAGGGCTAGAACTGCTGTGGTGCAGAGATGGAGACTGAGTCCATAAATATCATTAATGAAGATATACCTGGATTGGATGGTGGTGCCATGTTGGGGTTCATAGGTCAACGGACAGACCTAAGGGCTAAGCGTAGGTGGTATGCCAATGTTAAGTCAGCCAATGAAAAGTACTTTTATATCCGGGACCATGAATACCCTCTGAGCACAAAATACCCTGTTTTGCCGGAAAACGGCACTTTTTCTATTCTTCATTCTATTCTATCCTTCTTTCTTTCGACCATTCATTAGGCATCTATTGACTCTTTGGATTACAATTTGGACTCTAATTTTTTGGACATCACCTTAATTATTACTTTCGGAGTTTTAGTTCTACGCTCTTCTTAAATATTTGGGACGGATCTTAAAAACTTTTGATATAACCAGTGTATTGGTCTATTCTGATGAGATTTCGGAAACTAGCATTTAAAAATCTATACAATCACGGTAGTTTAATAAACTTTTCAAAAAACTTACAAATTTTGTTATTGGCTTACATACCTCCAAACTTCTAGAAGGCAATTTACTTGAAACTGTTAATGATAAAATAATGATAATAAGTATAAACCTGTCCAGTAGAGCTGCAGTCTCTTCAGAGGTTTCTGATTCTCACTGTGCCCTTGGAGCAGGTACTTGACCATTACCCTTTATTAAGGACAACACTTGTAAGCATGAAGGACCCCCCCCCCCCTTTCCGCAATACTGTAAATTCCAAACATTGATATCAACATGATCAAAGACTTTAATTTGATGACCACATTAACATGATTAAGGGTTTTTTTTTACCTTCATAAAAATCTTCATTTGTCTCAAAGAAAATTGAGACAAAGTATGGGATGTGTTACATAGGACCTCTTAATTCTTATAAAAAAGTATAAATGTTGGTACATGGATACATGGGTATTTAGATGTCATTTCATTTTATATTCCCAAAGCCACTACAAATATGAATCTGTTTTTAGCTTATTCAATAATTTTTTTTTTTCACAGATTCACAAGGATTTGCGGCATAACTATGTAAAGGAAGGAAGATATCACCATCATACATGTCAGGTTTCTTGTTTCCCAGAAGGTTATACATTTATAAGTAATTTTATGTATGAGTGCTAAATAATAATTGAAACAAATATTTACAGTAAATATCAAAAGTCTGGCCCTAAGCTTACTCGGTAATAACTCATGATAAAAAATAGTTAACTGGATAATCTTTGCTATCAAGTTAGCTGGAGAAATGTTAAACTTCATGCTGAAATGTAATAAAGCCTGTTTTCTCCACAGACAGGTCTCAGAGATGGGATATTTGAACTGTGGACAAAGGGACATCAGTGTGGTATAAGGTACATTTGTTTTTAGGTCACCTGAGTCACTCAGGTGACCTATTGCTATCAGTTTTCGTCTGTCGTTGTATGGACGTGTGGGTGTGTGTCATGTGTAAACTTTTCACATTTTCGACTTCTTCTCAAGAACTACTGGGCCAGTTTCCACCAAACTTGCCACAAACTATCCTTGGGTAAAGATGACTCAAGTTTGTTCAAATGAAGGGCCACGCCTTCTTCCAAGGGGAGATGATTAAGAATTAGTGAAAAATTAATGATATCTTTTAAAAATCTTCTTCTCAAGAACCACTGGACCAGGTAAGATGAAACGTGTATGGAAACATCATCAGGTAGTGTAGACTCAAGTTTGTGAAAATCATGACGCCAAGGGGTAGGGTGGGGCCACAACAGACTATCAAAATTTTACATAGAGATATATAGGAAAAATCTTTAAAAATCTTCTTCTCAGGAACAGATAAGCTCTGATTGGTCATATTTATATGGAAGTATCCTCAGTTTGTGTAAATTCAAATTTGTTCAAATCATGACCCCCAGGGGTAGGGTGGGGCCACAATGGATGATCAAAGTTTACATAGAAATATATAGGAAAAATCTTTAAAAATCTTCTTCTCAAGAACAGCAAAGTCGTGATGAGTCATATTTAAATGGAAGCATCCTCAGGTAGTGTAGATTCAAGTTTGTTCAAATCCTGACTCCCGGGGGTAGGGCGAGGCCACAATGGAGGATCAAAGTCTTACATAGGAATATATAGGAAAATTTCCTCTCAAGAACTGCAAAACCATGATTAGTCATTTTGATATGATCAAAGTTTTACATAGAAATACACAGAAATAATCTTTAAAAATTTTCTTCTCCAGAACCACTGGGCCAAGAAAATTGAAACTTATCTGGAAACATCTTCGGGTAGTGTAAATTCAAGTTTGTTCAAATCATGACCCCCAGGGGTAGGGCATGGCCACAATGGATGATCAAAGTTTTACATGGGAATACATTGGAAAAATCTTCTTCTCCAGAACCACTGGGCCAAGAAAGATGAAATGTGGAAACATCTTCAGGTAGTGTAGATTCAAGTTTGTTAAAACCATGATCCCCAGGGGTAGGGTGGACCACAATGGACAATGAAAGTTTAACATTGGAATATGTAGGAAAAATCTTCAAAAAATTCTTTTCTCAAAAACAGAAAGCCATGATTGGTTATATTTACATGGAAACATTAAGTAGTATAGATTCAAGTTTGTTCAAATCATGACTCTGGACTCTGGGGATAGGGTGGGGCCACAATGGATGATCAAAGATTTACAAAAGCTCCTTCTATCAGTGTATTTTATACTGTATGGATCTTCTATGGATTGTTGTTTTATACTCAGGTGACCGTTAAGGCCCTTGGGCCTCTTGTTGTATGTATACGCTCTTATGAGACCCCTACAAAGTTTTGGGGTATATAGGAATTATGTTTTTCGTCTGTCCATGCACTCTTGTCTAGACCATATTTTACAACTGAGTAAAAATGGAAGCTCATACTTGATACAAAAATGGCTTATAACCAGAGGACGTATTGTGACTTAATTTGACCCAAGGTCATTCTGACAACTTCAAGTTCATTGGTATAAAAAGTAGGCAAGATGTGTTCAGACCAGGCTCCAGGGCCATAAAACTAAGATGAGCTCACTTTTGATCTCAGTCTCACTTTTCCACTATTAATTCTTTATGTAAAAGTAAATTTGAGATCAAAAGTGAGTTTTATGGCCCAGGAACCTGAACTTTCTGAAGGAGAAACATATGAAGTTCATACCTCTCATAAAAATTGCAGATTATCTTAAAGGGTGTTGATCTTGATCCAAGGTCATTTTGGCAAGTTCATGTTTATTGGCAGAAAAAGTGTGTAATTTGTGTCTGGTCAATCTTCTGATCAGATTTGTGACATAATGTGGATCCAAGGTGAGCTGGACAATTAAGTTCAAAGGTCACTAACAAAAAACAAGAGACCCATGGGCCACATTACTTACCAGAGCATTCTGGCTAGAGAAAGCAGAAATCATTTTAGTATTGTACGTTAAAATGAAAATGTATAAGTGGTCCCACCTGAGGTGTGTGTGGGGGTGGGGGGATGACGAACGTATTTGAATCTACACTAACTGAGGATAACTGATATTTATGAGCCTAATCATGGGTTCAAAAGATTTGTAAAAGATTTTTCCCTTTATTCCTATGATCTTCTGTCGTGACCCTGCCCTATCCTTGGGGGTCATGACGTGAACAAAGCTGAATCTACATTAGGGTGAGTTAACCATGCATTGGACACATACCTTGCTTCGGACAACTTTAAGCACTAAGCTTTCATTGAACCCGAGTCTCTCCGTGTTTTTATTTGTTTCTGTCTTAAAGGTGAAGATTTAAACTTTTAAATGAGGTCGATTTTTATTTTCATGTTGTGATAAAAATACCACAAGAATGGCCTTGAAATTACGTCATATTTTGCACCATTAAAGGGGAGTAACCAGAATTTTACAATTTTGCAATTTTTAGAGTTGTCATTCTTTTAAATAGACTTTAACGGAATGAGTCGGACCCAGGTAAAATTTGTCAATGATTGATAATTTTACAGAAATTTTTCAAAAATTTTACTTCAGTGTTTGTTTAATATTTTTTAGAGTTGTTTTTTTACTAGTTTGTTTATTTCACCGTACATCGGACACAAATTAACCATGCATCAGACACTTTCCAATGCATGGGCAGGGATAGACATTAACTTTCAGATTCACTTGCCCTTCGGGCAAGTGATCTCAAACTTTGACTTGTCCGAATGCAAAACTTGGTTGCCCCAAATTAGGCAAGAACATAAGAAGAAAAAATTAATTTCTGTAAACGTTACGATAAGAAAAAATGTGATCAAATACCAGCTACAAGTCAATGAAAAAAAAATTGATGCTGCATTTGTACATAAATGTATACCACTGTACTTGTAAATTTAACCTTTTAACACACACTGCCATGCAGCAATACCCCTTTCCTTTTAATTTCCTTTTCATAAAATTTGTATTTTTAAACAAATTATTTCGGTAGGCTACGAAACATGCATCTTTATCCTGATCATGATACATCAAGTTACACTGTACTTACATTCTGTGCATGAATAAATTGTCTAATTTCCTAATAAGAAGTTAACAAAATTTTGGTATATGTAGAGCGTATATACTACGAAGGAAAATAACAAACCCGATTTTTAAATGAATGGTAATAATCCATAAACGCTATCAAGGAATTCCGAATGCAAAACATTGTCAATAAGGTGCGTGGCGGGAATCAAGTGTTCAATTTATTGTTTTATTTATAAACTAAATAAATATGTGCATTTCTATGAAAAAAATTCACTTGCCCGATCGGACAAGTACGTCGACAATTTCACTTGCCCAAACTGAGAATTTGCTTGTCCTGGGCAATCGGACAACCGTTAATGTCGATCCCTGATGGGTAATCACTTCCATTTTCAAATAAAACCAAAATGACAGCTGTTTTTTACGAAAATAGAAAATGAAAACTCTATATTTTCAGTGAAAATACATTTAATCGATATATGATGACTAGAAGTGGACTCAACTTATTTCTTTAATCTAGATGATGATAACCCATGAGACAAAGGTGCGAGTTGCCATTTTACTACCATTGTAAAGCCTTTCTTAGGCAATGTGATGCTACTAAAACCTCTTCACATTTGTGGATCGAAATAGTCATTCATATTAAACTAGAAGGTTAATTTTTAAATACAAGATAGAAATGTTTCAATATCACTAATTTTAAAGCACTGAGATCAAGGTACGACGTTTTTTGGTTTAAATACCGCATGTCTGATGCATGGTGAATATTGTCCGATCCATGGTAAATTCTGACTTATTTAAAAAAAATCAGTTTTTAGTGATATTTTCTCAATAAATAGCACACAATTGTGTCAAAAATTTATATTTTAACCACATACTACATGTTAGTTCCATTTAGATTATATTCGGTCGGTAGCGATATTGCTAGAACTTGTTGAAGTGCGAGGGTGTCTGATGCATGGTGAATTCATGCTACCATATTATTATGACTATATATATTCCTATTTAAAAGTTTGATCTCTGCCTTAACCAGGTGGGTCATGATTTGAACAAACCTAAATTTACACTATGTAATTAAGCCTTCACATAAGTTTCAGGCATCACCATATCAGGTCACAAACTGCTGCATTGATCAATTTTACTGACATATTGAAAAGGGAAAAAACCCAGTCTTTCTATTTTATATGCCTGTCTTTGACTGGACATATTATGGTATGGCGATCATGCCCATCCATCTGTCTGTTAGCTTTTTCGTGTCTGGCTAATAACTATAATACTATGAGGCTTAAACTCATAAATCTTTGTCAGCTGGTGCATCTTGGGTAGAAGATGTGTCGGGTTTAAAAATTTGGTCACTCTGACCTTTACTTAAAATGATATGGCCAAATGTGGCAAAACCCTGTCTGGCTCATTTGGCCTAGAATCTTCAAACTTGGACAGATAATACCTCTTAGGTAGATGGTGTGTTGCATCCTACATTATGGTCTCTGTGACCTTTAAAGAGCGGGTCCTGGCACTTTTTGTGTATTTTTTAAATCTGAGTTTTTATCCCGCATGTTAATGATATATATTTCTTGGTCAATTCTCTTAAAATATAACATATATAAACAAGATATTTACAGTGTTTTGTTGGTTTAAAATAAGAAAATTGTAATCGGTGAAATCTTCGGCTCGTTCCGTAAATCGCGCCTCCAGAGATCGGATGTGACGTCACATCAAGAACACGAGGAAAGATGGTGCGTAGGTGTGTTGTCGGTGGGTGCAGCAACACCAACAGTAATTCGTCTCTGCACGAGTTCCCACCAGACCAAGCTGTAAGGAAAAAGTGGGACAGGTTTGTGTCATCCACTCGGAAAGACTGGAAGCATGGCGTGGATACGTCTGTCATTTGTGGTGACCACTTCATAGCCCCATCAGATTTTGAGGGATACCAACAGTGGCGGAGTGGTTTCAAGAAAAAGTTGACACTTAGGCCCGGGGCTGTGCCAACCATCCGTTCCCCCTCATTGTCAAAGCCTGAACACCACCGACGTGCAGTACAAAAACTCAATATATCAAGGGTAAGTTTTAAAATGTTGGATAAACAGATAAATGTTCACACGGTTTAATATTCTTGTCACTGGGACCCTAATTAAGATCATATCCACTGCAAAGAATGGAAAATACATAGGCATATAAAAACATAATGGGGGCTCATATATTTTAGGTAGAAAACTTGAAGTTTAGTAATGATTGATTTTTTTAAACAGTTGTTTGATGGCACTACTGGACATACTGAACATGCTGAAACTGTGGTTGAAAGGTTGTCACAAGCAGGTACTTCCACAGTAAGTGCACTTGATTGATTGTATATCCAATAGAAAAAATAGATAAAGTAAAAGATGCATGTAAAATAGATGGAGTTTTAAAATTGGAAATGGATCTTCTCCCATGGATCTGCTTTATCAATAATCGGTAAAGCCTGTCCATGGACACAGGTTATTCTAACTATAGATCTAGTAAAAAGAATTTATATGTATATACCTTGATACTTTATACGGGGTGGATGAGTGATATGTTGTGTTTTTATTAGTTTTAAAGGAGAAAGGGAAGAAAGACATATATTCAATATTATTATTGGACAGTCATGAGTACATATTGTCATGCCGTTGGTAATGAAAGATTATTATACTCCGCTCCGAAGGAGAGGGGTGTATACTGTTTCACCCTTGTGTTTCTGTCTGTCCGTCTGTGTGTCTGTAACAAATTTTCTTCGCAGTTTTCTCAGCAATTGCTCATCACAGATGCTTGAAATTTTAGCACACTCTGTTTAGGCATGTTATATGGTGGGATTCATTTTTGTACGAATTCAATGTCAACATAAGAGGATATACTTACATCAGAGCGGGGGTATTTCTAGTGAGCATTTGCTCACAGACTTCTTGTTTTAATATGCTGTTTGATGTTGTAAAAGTTTTAATATTGGAGTGCATCATAGCCAAAATGACAAATTTTGAATGCGGATGCAGTAATATACTGGTTTACTGCATTCATGAGAACTAACATGAAACAATAGACGTGTATGTTTAGTGTTTTTGATTGTTCATTTTAGATTTCCTTAAGCTCATCAGAAAAGGATGAAGTCAGAGAAGATGATTTATTGAATGCTGAGGCAACTGTTACAGGTGACATAGTAAGTATGTTTTCATGTCTTCAGGTAAGTCATATACCAAATGTAATTGAGAAACTTTATCACATTTGGACATTTTGAAACTTAAAGCTGAACACGATTCTTAAAGGAAATTTGTCTGCCATATTCATATCATGGTGTATACCTTTTTACGAGCTCTAACCTTATTCTTTTACTAAGGAATTGCACTATTTACAGTCTCATTTACAGGTTCTGAATAACATGCCACATCAAGTTATGTGTTCACTTGAGTCAGATAAAGCACAGGATACAGTGAGTTCTTGATATATATATTAAATAGAAAAAATGCAAAAACAACTTTCTTAATAAAGTTTTTCTTTTGTAGAATTAACTTTAAAGTATTGACAGAATATAATAATCAGCTTCATTTCTACAAACCATTTTTGCTAGTTTCATGCTGCAATTTTTGAATTTATTTTAATTGACTTTAAACAAAACTTTATAGGCTACTTGTACAGATGAAATCCTTCCTGATAGTGACCCACCCAAGAAACAGTCAAGGGGAACACAGTTGGGATTAAAAAGAGAGAGCTACAGAAGTATAGGTATTGTAGTGTGTTGTCTTTGGAAGATTTTTGAAAATATTTTTTTATAGTTTTAAGTCAGTAAAGTTGTTCTGGATGTTGTAAATACTTAATATCGTGATTACTTCCCAGTTACCTATCTTAATCCCACTCTTCTGCGGCGAAGTTGAGAAACTCTAAATCTCACAAGATTTTCGGGGCATGAAGTACTTACGCTTGTGACAATCGAATGGTTCAAATAATTAGTATGCCGAAAGTACAATGTATTGCAAAGGGTTGAACTTCAAATAGTAGGTTGTCTAATTGGAATGTTTAGAGTTTTATTTTATCAGCTTCCAAAAGTAACTATTATCAGAAAGAAATAGTTGAATTTAATTAGATGAGTCAGCTTAGTGAAAAAGTATCGATAAAAATGTAAAACATTTGGACTAGGTTCTCATGAAATTATCAGCATGGTTCAGCGATGTTCTGCAAAATATTTCACCAGGACTTCTTTCATATCTACCCTTTAAAAATCCACAATGCTAGATCTTGCATTGTATGCAATAGCACATTGCCCCCAGGTAATAGACGTTTCCTACCTTCACCGCGAAAGAGTTCAATTAAGTTAAGTAATGATATCAAATATTGAAACAATTTTTATTAGATCACAGAGCCAAGGGTGTTGGTCTATTGTCTGTCTTAATTGGGGGGGGGGGGGGTTTAAATTGAAGAGTCCCATATCATGAGATCAAAATTTTATAAAGTGGAGTTGGGAAAGAATCCTTTTGAAAATCAAAATGACAGGGTCATGATGACAAAGGTGAGTGGCATGGTCCATAGGTCTCTTGTTACTTTGAAAGAGTATGAAAATGCCTGCACATATGTAGTAGTAATGGCCTGCACATTTATGTAAAGGAGAAAGGCCGAAAACTGTCCATTCTGTGAGAGAAAGAACTAATCGAGGGCCGTAGGCCCGAGATTAGTTCTTTCTCTCACAGAATGGACAGTTTGAGGCCTTTCTCCTACTTAAAACATGATATCCTTTGTTCTAAGAATTAAATAAAAAATGTACATTTCTGGTATCAGATATTACAGGTAGCAGACATACAATGACAAGTTCATTGTTTACAGAATGGACAGTCACAGGTAAGCTGGGATGAACAGCAATTTATTGAATAGTCATTGTGTTTTCAAATGCAAATAACAAATTAAAGGTTTTTGTCTAAAGAATGGCCAGTTACAGGTGGATTTTGGGGGATACTAATATTTATACAAGGATGCGATGCTTCAAAATCAGTTTATAGTTTACGTTGAAAAGGTACGCATGTTTTCCTCCGATGGAGAGAGTATATGACAGAAGCAAAATCTAATGAACTAATGCACAAAATTAGTGAAAGTTGGACCTGGGAACATGGAATAGTAAAAGAAAATAGTAGCCAAACTTTGACCTAAAAATGAATTTCTTCTTCGACAGATACAGAATCAAATCTGGAAATGGTTTATTTGAATTCAATTTTTGAGGAGATGTTGACTGCAGCAGAGTAATGGTGATATGCAAATTGTGTTCTGAGTCTTGGATTAGCCATGAGCCAAACTTCGACCTGAAAATGTATTTCAATTCAAATCTGGAAATGTTTCAATTCTAATTATTTTCTAGGGAAGCAGTATAGTGCTCATGGTGCAAACTGTTTTCTTTGTGGTGGATTTAATATTAGCCGTACTTCATTATTCTTAAAATGGATTCTTCTCAAGGGAATGATGTTTTCGAAATTTAAAATCAAATGTGAAATTATGTCATTTAAATTCAAGTTTTGTGAAAATTCAGTTTCGAATACATGTATTGAAATAATGGGTATTATTCATGGATTCAAAAGTATAAAATCGAGCAGATACTGTGCAGACATTGTGTTCTGGATTAACCTGGATCTCCGTGTTCTTTTTGTTATTTACCTGTAAATTAAATCGTATTTAATGTATTTGTTTTTGTTTCCTCTTGGGCACATTCCAAAGTTTACCTGTAACTCTCCATTCTGTTTGTTTTAACTGTCCATTCTTTTTTAAAAAACTGTCCATTCTTAAAAAGAATAGACAGTTTTCCAAAAAGAATGGACACTTACAGGTGACTTAATGGATTGTTTGGGGAGTTAGCTCAACATTATGCTATAGAATGGACAACACAAACAAAAGGTTTACGTCACAATCATGTTTTAAATAGTAGTAAAAGACTTTTTTATATTCTCATATTTAAGAGTTGATTGGATCCAGTTTTTGATATTATTGGAAATATAAAGCATTACATTCCTTTTTAGGTATTCAGGTAGACATGTTTGAGAAGTGTGAAACTTGTGATGTTGGCATTCAGTGTGGGGAGACGGAACATACTGAAATGGAGGATTTTATGGAAAATGGTACATGTATCTTTGACAAGACCACAAACCAAAATTCCAACACTGAAAAGGAAAGTTGTTTCACTCCTGACAGCTCCACTCTTGACATTACACAAAATGATGTAAAGTAAGTATACATACACCTGTATGTAAAGCTGATTTTAAAACTTCAACTACAATGCCCACTGCTTCACAAAATAACAAGAATTTTTGCTACTAGCCTTTAAACAGCTTTTATTGTTATTTATTTTTAGGTTGCAAGATTTGAAGGTCTGTCTCTGTCTTTCTGTTTGCAACTTTGTATATTTCTTTTAAGCTATACAAGACAGAGACATCATATTTGATCATGAGAAAGGTCAGAGGTCATTGTCAGTAAAGAGACAATGTCATTGATGGTAATCATGGTAATCAAATGTCATATTTGCTTTCATGGAACCTTTTTATCACTGGGGACATAGTGTAACACTTTTGTTTTAATTTTAATTTTGGGAATTTTTAGAATATCTTGTAAATACCAAGTGATGTGTTTGGCATTTTTATGATTTCAAAAAAATTCTGTGATTACTGGTTTCAAATCTTGCTAGAGCTGCTTGATGCAACATCAGATAAGTCCAATGGTATGTTTTAAATTTTGTAGTACTGAAGAAATGCCAATGGAGGAGCCGGAACCTTGTCATCTAGAGGAAAAGTTTTTAGTATTCAAGTGGCAACTTCTACAGCTCTTTCAGTTTTGCCCAAGATGTCATTTTCCAGTTCGTGGTGTTGTTGATAAGAGAGTTGGAACTTGCATTCATATAGTGCAGAAGTGCTCTGCATGTAAATTTGTCAATGATTGGGCCAGTCAACCTTATATTGGAAAAATGCCAGCTGGAAATCTTCTTCTTTCAGGCTCCATTTTATATTCTGGTAGTCTTAGTAGCAAGTGCCTGCTAATGTTCAAGTTGTTGAATATGGCTTGTTTTGGACGCAGTACATTTTTTAGGTAAGTATTATTTTTCAATATATTAGAAACTTGATTGGTTTATAGTCAATGTCTAATCTGGGTCATTCACCAAGGTGATTATTGATTTATCAATTAAATGTGTGTGTGTGTGTGTGTGGGGGGGGGGGGGGGGGGGGTATAGCATTTCACAATCAGTCCAGTTCTAAGTTGTTAGGCATATCCTGGAAGTTCAAAATTTAGAAATGCATAGAATTTCCATTGTGCATGTTGGTACCTTTTACAATATTTATGAACTTTATTTTTAGGCATCAACAACAGTATGTTTTACCAACAGTTGTGCTTTATTGGAGGCAGGCACAAAGTTCTATCATTGCCTACTTGAAGTCACAGAACAGAGGGTTGGTGCTTGCTGGTGATGGACGCTCAGACAGCCCTGGTCATTGTGCTAAATATGGTGCATTCACTTTCATTGAAACCAAGATCAACAAAGTTCTAGACATTCAACAAGTGCAGGTACTTTTATATGTTATGTTGATTTATTCTTTATTTATCCTTTGTTTTAGTTTAGAAGATAAAATTTTGATATTTTGAATTTATTTTGTTTGAATTTCTTAATTATAATTTGAGCTGTTGCTTTAAAATTTTTTGGTGGCACAAACTTGACATGTCAATCCAATGCTTAAATCTTTCCGGATAAATTTTTATTTCTATTGAATACAATGCATATGCATTGAATAAATTGTTTATTTAATTCTAGGAAGGGTTTCTAAAATTTTCTATCAGTGAAAGACAGAATTAGAATGTCCATAATTAGTAATATGTACAGAAGGCTCATATCAAATTGAAAACTTGATGGCCATAACTCACTTTCAAATAAAATGTATGTGCTAAAATAGCTTCAGCATAGATTCAGTTGTTAAATATGAAAAAATTCAAAAAATTGTTGAAATTGAATATACTATTGAGCATCATTGATTAAACTGAATGAAATAAAACTTATCCCAATTTTTTTTTTTTTTTTGGGGGGGGGGGGGATGTAAAAAGTTGTTTGTTCTGGCTAGTAAAGTTTTGCCATCACTAGCCTGAATGGGCTTGCTGAAAGTTTTTGGTGCATATTGTTTGTGTTGAAGAGGTTTTGGCATGATACTAAAACCTTTGTTTTTTTTTAGACTTGTTTTTGTTCACCTTTATTTTCTGGAACAGCTACATGTATATCTCAATCAGGTATGTTTATCACATGTATATCTTAATCAGTTATGTTTATCTAAGTTATGCATGATTTTCCTCTTAAGTGTTTTGGAAGGACTAGAGAATAGTTATTGCTATTTTTTGGACAATGTTTATTTTTTTTTACAAGTAAGAACAAAAAAATTATGTTTCCTCCATTATTCATGATACATATAGAAGGAAAAAATTATTGAAGGGTGTATTAGAATACATGTCTCATATTTGTTCTATTTTTTCCACAGAGCAATGAAGTTCCAAATAGTTCATGGTGTGAGCATGAAGGGTTAAAAAGAAGCGTTAGATTTCTGAAGGATGAGGGGTTGCAGTTAGACACCCTTATTACAGACAGACACAGACAGAATAACAAGTGGATAAAGGAAAACCTTGATGGAACAAACCACTTCTATGACATCTGGCATGTTGCAAAGGGTAAGTACATGTACTTATAAATGAAGAAAAATTAAAGCGAACAGTATGGATATATTTAAATATTAAACATTCAAGTGGAAAAATTTACATTTAGGTATATATTTGAAATTATATCCTGCGAGTTCAACATATGAGTTAAATTTGTAGGCACAGGGAAAAAACTGGATGCTTTGGCAAAGGTCAAGGATTGTGATATTGTTGGTAAATGGAAGCAGTCCATCACCAATCATATGTATTGGTCTGCAGGTTCTACACCAGATAACAATGGAGATTTGATTGTTGCCAAGTGGGAGTTGGTTATCCAGCATGTGCAAAACATCCACACCAACCACCCAAATGCTCTTTTCCAAAGTTGTCTTCATGATTCCCTGGAAGAAGAAGATGAGCGTGAGATTGAATGGCTTAATCCAAGTATTATTTATTATGCCTATTCAAATTTAACATCTTTTTTACGTATTTTAATCATTCTGTAGAAATTTGAGTCAGTCATCCAAAATAAATCACAAATGCAAATGTAAGAAATATATATATATATATATATATATATATATATATATATATATATATATATATATATATATATATATATATATATATATATTAATTTTTAGCAAGCAAAGCCTTTGAACAATTGGAAAAGATTCTTTTAAACAAGACCCTCTTAAAAGACATTTCAAGACTTTCCAGTCAGGAGCAGACATCTTCCTTGGAGGCTTTTCATAGCTTGATACTCCATTTTGCTCCCAAGAATACAGCCTTTTCTTATCTTGGAATGTTATGTCGGTGAGTAAAAAATAGCACTAGCACATTCTAACATCTAAGTAGCCATTTGATGAACATTACTGTTTTAAAGCCAACTGGCACTTTCTAATATTTTGAATTGCTGATCATTGGCCTGCGCAAACCAAAACAGATACTATGTGCTTTAATTAATTTGTGATTTTTTTTTTCTTTTTCAAAATAACCAGACTCTACTTGGCTGGACTCCATTATAATAAGAACTCTGATCGTTACCAAATGTTCAACAGACAAGGTGAAGCTTGCTTCACAATCAGATACCCGAAAGGAAGGAAAGGACAAGCTGTTGTACGTCCTGACAAAACTAAGCCTACTTATGGTATGGGATCATATTAATGAAACTTTCAGTTGATCTTAAATATTCAAATTTTATTTTCATATAATAATAAAAGAGTCCTCATTGTTGTGTTCAGCTACTATATCACCTGATATTTTCAAAAGAATCATTGTTGAAAGAAACAATAAGCTGAAAAACTCTGTATTTCAGATTATGCCATGCATCTCCAACAAGAATTGGTAGATCGATATATACAAGGGCCAAGCCAACTACGAGATTCTATCAATAATCTACGTGCTAGGGTACCCAACTGTCTATCCACAAATGCAGATCAACCGGACAAGGCAGAGGCAGTGGAGATGTTTGTGTCCAGATATAACAGATGACACTTGAAACATTTATTTGTGTCTATTAATTGTGCTTTGTACCGGTACTAATCTTACTTTATTGTTACAGCCACATAAAATTGTAAACGTATATTTTCACCTAATGAGAATTCCGTAGAAACTTTGTGCACAAGGCATAGAGAAACATCTTGTTGTTGAGTACCAAAACCAGTATGTACATGTATTTTATCGCCTTTAAGGTCTGACAAGTTGTAAGAACTTGTTGAGAAATGCTGCATTAGACAGTTTTTTGGGGGTTTGAATGCTTAATTGTTAGAATGACCTTACCGAGGTTTCTAGTTATTTGGCCACTCAAAGTTTTTGTATTGTCCATCATTTGCAGGAAATGCATTTCTAATGCGTGACATATTACACAGGCTGGTAAAGGAGTACGGTTGTTCTTTCCCAGGAAACCCCAACACCATCTTACTAATTGACGATAAGCCACATATCGAAACTTCCTAAAATGTTACACATTTTTTTGTAAAGATTGTGCTTTAATATATAAAATGTGTTTGATATTTAACCATGGTTGAATGTTTCTTTTATAATATGTATTTCATGGTATGCTTTTATTTTTTTAAGATGACACTCACTGATGCAGGGGTTTCTGTATTCTTCCCCATTCTTGTCGGTAAGCATAATAGGCTGTTTCTAGAACCCATGGATCCAAACAAACACTTTGAAATCCAGGATGGGATGTTATACAAATAAAATCCTGATTGGTCTGTTTGCTTCCCTCATTAATTTTAGCTTTTGTTTTGTCACATTCTTGACAGCAAAACCTGTTGTCTGGACATTCAATAGGTTGACATGTACCACATGTACACCTAAAATGCATATGTATTGGTTATTCATTGGCATATTGGGAGAGGGGTCTTTGCTCTTTTGTTTGAGGGATGAAATGCAGTTTTAAAAAAAAAATTGTATGCTTGGAATTGCAAGAAATATTGACTGTTTACCCATTACTACATGTAACAGACAGGAAAGTCTGAAAACTTGAGCAGATGGTGATAATGGTTCATTTTGATCTATTAAAACATTGATACTCATTGACAATTGTTATTGCTGACTGACAGTGATTGTCCTGTGAAGTCACCATGCCATAACACACTTGATATCTAACTACATGTTGTATATACCATTCCAAGCCCCCCCCCTTTTTTTTGAGCATCTGCGTTTAGTCAAGACTGGAATTCTGTAAACTTGTTCAAACGTATCATTTTTTCAGTCAATAGGTATAAGTACCTTGATTTGCATCTTTCTATGCTAATGATATTACGAAATCAATTCGTCTATTGATGCCATGTGGTTCTTACCATAGGTACTTGGTTTCAGGATGGGTGTATAGTGTTTTTGTAGGTGTGTCTGAATACTCTCATTAATTTTTTTTTTAATACTGAAATTAGCACTTTTTAAAAATGTATTAGTATTATGATATTTTTTAAAAAGTGCAAATTACAGCGATTTTTGTTTTTTATTTAAGAAGTAATCGGACACACCAAAAAAAAACAAAAAACAAAAAAAAAAAAAACGCTAAATACACTCTCCTGAAACCAAGCGCCTATGGTTCTTATATGTATAGGTAGGTCGTAGGTAAATTCGTAAGTATGAATTTGACGCTAAACAGGGAAAACCTAAAGCGTCTAATCTGAAATTTCTCTGAAGCTACCCCCAAATACCAAAGTAAAGGACGTGCAAACGAAAGGGGGCGTGGCCTGGGGTAGTTTAACTAGATCTGAGGAATGTCGGACTAAAAAGAGCAAAGATGTTAATGCTCTGTTTTAAAATGAACAATAACATCAAGTTTATGGTATTGTTAATTTATTTGCAATAAATAAGATATTATTTGGACAAGCGCTTAGTCATTATAAACACAAACCACGAGAGATCACCCTCCTCTCTGACTTGGACAGAATTCTGTGTGTACTGAGCCGCGTTGTCCCCGACACTTGCAACTCCTTCAGCCCTCCGAGGCTCAAAGCGATATGGTCTGACTCCCATATGATCTTCATGACTATTCTCCTCCCCGCTTTCTATTTCGTTTATAGGTTCAGGTAGAGAGTTGTCACTATCACTATTAAAGGAATCGTCCGCAGACATGTTGTTCTTGATGTGACGTCACACTGTTCAAGTCTCGTATATTCTCATAAAATCTCGCGTTCGTTCGGCAATCTCCGTAGAAAGGAGAGTTGTAAGGTAGATCTACGTTTGGCAAGAATAAATATGTGTTTTTATCGTTCAGAAATTTATAGTTTATGAAAATTAGCGCGCATTCAACAGATTAACATCTTTTATTTTAGCTCTTTATAAGATGTATGTTTAATTATGAGAACATATCAAGATATAAGCCTATGAAGTGTCAATGTAGTAAAAAAGTGCCAGGACCCGCTCTTTAACATTAAGATGGTATAGCCAAATATGGCAAAACCCTGTCCGGCTTATAACTGAATAATTATGCCGCATCTTAGGTAGAAGGTGGTCGCATCCTACATTAAGGTTACTGTGGCATTTTTAGCTCACCTGAACTGAAAGCTCAATTGAGCTTTTCTAATCACCTGTTGTCTGTCGTCCGTCCGTCTGTAAAATTTTCACATTTTCAACTTCTACTCCAGAACAAATGGGCCAATTTTAACCAAAGTTGGTACAAAGCATCCTTGGGTGTTAGGGATTTTAAATTATTAAAATGAAGAACCAAGTCCCCTTACAAGGGGAGATAATCATGAAAAGACAAAAATAGGGTTTGGTCATTAAAAAATCTTCTTCTCAAGAACCACTGGGCCAGAAAAGCTAAAAATTACATGGAAGCATCCTGGGGTAGTGTAGAATCTAAACTGTTCAAATCATGACTCCTGAGGTAATGTGAGGCCACAATATAGTATCAAAGTTTTACATTGAAATATATAAGGAAAATTTCTTAAAATCTTCTTCTCAAGAACCACTGGGCCAGAGAAGCTGAAACTTAATGTGGAAGCATTCTGGGGTAGTGTTGAATCTAAATTGTTCAAATCATAACCCTGGGGTTAGGTGGGACCACAATAGGAAATCAAAGTTTTTCATTGAAATATATAGGAAAAATCTTTAAAAAATCTTCTCAAGAACCACTGGGCCAGAAAAAAATAAAAATTATGTAGAAGCACCCTGGGGTAGTTTAGAATCTAAATTATATAAATCATGACCCCGGGGGATAGGGTGGGGCCACAATAGGAAATCAAAATTTTACGTTTAAATATATAAGAAAAATCTTTAAAAATCTTCTTATAAAGAACTGCTGCACCAGAAAAGTTGAAACATTTGTGGAAGCTTCCTTAGGTAGTGTAGATTGTAAATTGTTCAGTTCATGATCCCTGGGGGTAAGATGGGTCACAATAGGGATTTCATAGGAAAAATTTTGAAAATTCTATACTCAAGAACAGCAAAGCTATGATTAATTATGTAAATGTGGTAGCATCCTCTGCTGGTGTTGATTCATTTTTTCCTCATATCATGACCACTGTGTATGGGATGGGGTCTTAAAAGACGATCAAAATTTTACATAGGAATACATATATAATGTATGCTGGACTAAAGCCTTAAAAAGTTAGTGTTGAGCCCTGCAAGTTAAAGATTAATGAATGAGTTTAATGTAAGAAGGCTGCTTAACCATTTTTGTAGGAACATTTCTGATCAAGAAGGTGTTATCCAAATCTCTTTGGTATTGGGCAGGGGAACTAAAGATCTGACTTCTTAATTGCTATTAATGGCATATTTGACAAATTAAAATAGTTTTTGATTTCCACTCTTTTGTTTTCAAAATCAATTTCGTATAAAGTTATAAGAAATTAATTTGATTTTGGATAATACAGTCAAACCTGTATTAAGAGACCTTCCAACGGAGAAAGGAAAAAAGGTCACATATGAGAGGTGGTCTCTTAATACAGGTTGCTTATTTTCAGCAGTGTTCAAATATACAATGCTGAAAATATTACACGTGTATGTGGAATGTATTTTATAGGTACTGCTCATCTCTAAATGCTTTTATATTATAGGTACAATTGTCCTGTTCAGTAATAAAATTTGCTTGATCTGCACATGAGTAATTTGATTATTGGGAAATGTTGTGAACATCTGAAAATATTAAATGTTTTTATACGGTATAAAAAAGCTTCAAAGATTTTTTCTAATAATATTTTTTTTGTTTTACATGATAGCCTATATATATAGCTTTGTATGTTTTGCAAACTACTAAGAATTAAAACCGTATCATGATTTTTGTTATGCACTTGGTAAGAAATTAAATTATATTTATGACTAAAAATTTATTTAACCTAATTATTTTTTTTTTCATTACTGAACTACCGCGTCTAATTGCCTGTTTGTCACCTACTTCAATCACTTCAATTATCACCTGGTATGGGTGCTAGCTACCGTGTGTTTACTTACCCCGTTGCTGACACAATTCACTTAAATAAACATCTAGGATTTAGTTACTTGTTAATTAAAAGTTAAAAAGGCAGGTTTTACAGCTGAATATCCATTTGGCCCTTATAACACGAAATGATATCGGGCTCGACCTTGAACATCTATTTTCAAAATGGCACTCGATCATTGGAGAGAAAAAAACGTGAATGTTTATGTATTAGATTTTAATGTGTATTCAGTAAATATCAAAATGTAAGTAAAAATATTTATTTTTTTTTATTATTCCTAAAACTCGGATTATATAATTATTAAATGAAATAAACGCATGTCTGTAGATGTTTTGAACCAAAAAACGTAGCATGCTCGACCGAAACCGAAAGTAGGAATCGGAAATTATATAGTCGTTAAATCCAGGTAAAATTGCCTGAAATTACAAAAAATGGTCAGGAAAATCACGGTCGTTGGTCGCGTTAGACAGGTGGTCGTTTAATACAGGTATAATTAATATATAGGGAAAAGCGTTGGGAGGAATTCTTACGGTCACATATGACAGTGAGTCGCTTAATACAGTGGGTCTCTATGGCAGTTTTAACTGTATATATTAAATTCGCCCTGAGCCGAAGGCTCAAGTGAGCTTTTTAGGTCACCTGAGTCACTCAGGTGACCTGTTGCTATCTGTTTTGGTCGTTCATCGTGCGGGTGTGCGTCGTGCGGGTATGAGTCGTGTGTAAACTTTTCACATTTTCGACTTCTTCTCAAAAACCACTGTGCCAATTTCAACCAAACTTGCCACAAAGTATTCTTGGGTAATGTTGATTCAAGTTTGTTCAAATGAAGGGTCAAACCTTTTTCCACAGGGAGATAATTAAGAATTAGTGAAAAATTAATGGCATCTTTAAAAATCTTCTTCTCAAGAACCAATGGGCCAAGAAAGATGAAACTTATATGAAAAAATCCTCGGATAGTGTAGATTTAAATTTGTTCAAATCATGACCCCCGGGGGTAGGGTGGAACCACAATGGAAGTTCAAAGTTTTATATAGGAATGCAGAGGAAAAATCTTTAAAAATCTTCTTTTCCAGAAACACTGGGCCAAGAAAGATGAAACTTGTGTGCAAACATTCCCAAGTAGTGTAGATTCAAATTTGTTGAAATCATGACCCCCTGGGGTAGGGCCGGGCCATAATGAATGATCAAAATTTTACATGGGAATACATTGGAAAAATCTTCTCCTCCAGAACCACTGGGCAAAGAAAGATGAAACTTATGTGGAAACATCTTCAGATAGTTTATATTCAAATTTGTTTATATCATGATCCCGGGGGTAGGCTGGGGCCACAATGGACAATCAAAGTTTTACATAGGAAAGGATAGGAAAAATCTTTAAAATTCTTCTTCTCCAGAACTACTGGGCCAAGAAAGATAAACTTGTGAGCAAACATCCTCAGGTAGTGTAGATTCAAGTTTGTTCCAATCATGACCCCCTTGGGTAGGGCAGGGCCACAATGAATGATCAAAATTTTACATGGGAATACATTGGGAAAATCTTCTCCTCCAGAACCGTGTGGAAAACTTATGTGGAAACATCTCCAGGTAGTGTAGATTCAAGTTTGTTTAAATCATGATCCCCCTGGTAGGGTGAGGTCACAACGGACAATGAAAATTTTACATTGGAATACGCAGGAAAAATTTTTAAAAATTCTTTTTTCAAAAACAGCAAAGCCATGATTGGTTTTATTTACATGGAAGCATCCTCAGATATAGTATAGATTCAAGTTTGTTCAGATCATGACTCTGGGGATAGAGTGGGGCCACAATGGACGATCAAAGATTTACACATGAATACATATGAAAAATCTTTATCAATCTTCTTCTCAAGAATATCAAAGTTATGATTTGTCTTATTTATATGGAAGCATCTTTGGGTAATGTTAATTCAAATTTGTTCAAATCTTGATCTCCTGGGGTAGGGAGGGGGCACAACAGGTGATCAAAGTTTTAGTTAGGAATATATAGGAAAGATCATTCAAAAATCTTCTCAAAAACATCAAAACTGTGATAAGTATTTTAATATAATTTAATTTTGGTTGTAACGTGTCATTTGATTGGATTAATATTATTTATTTAATTTATATTGTGTAACCTGGGTTTGTTTTTGCAGCTTTCAATTAATACTCTATGGATTGTTGTTTTATACTCAGGTGACCGTTAAGGCCCTTGGGCCTCTTGTCTGATTAAAGAGTGTCTGGTGTATATCTGTCATCTGTAAACTTTCTACATTTTCGACTTCTTCTCAAGAACCACTGGGCGAATTTCAACCAAACTTGCCAAAAAGCATCTTTGGGTGAAGAGGAATTAAATTTGTTCACAGGAAGTGCACGCCCTCTTTCAAGGGGAGATGATTAAGAATTCGTGAAAATTTGGTGGCATCTTTTAAAAATCTTCTCCTCCAGAACCACTGGGAAGGAAAAGATGAAACTTTTTGTGAAAACTTCATTACATACTCTAGATACAAATTTGTTCATATCATGATCCCTGGAGGAAAGGCAGGGGTCAGGCACAAGAGTGGGTCGAAGTTTTACATAGGATATAAAGGAAATGTATTTAAAAATCTTCTTCAGTCGCCCGCGTGGTGCAGTGGTTAGAGCGTTCGCTCTAGAGTCGTGGAGTAAGGAGTTGATCTTTACGCCGCGGGTTCGAATC